TCCTCCTCGCACAAGCGATCGCCATCGCTACCCCCCCATCCCTCCTCCTCCTCCTATGATCCCTCCCCCACCTCCTCCTCCTCCTCTCTTGTTTTTGCAACCCGTAGGGTTCGGTCCGTGCACGTCCTACTCCCCCCTCCCCCCCTCCCCCAAGCGGTCGCCATCGCTGTTCCCCCCGTCGCCCCTCCTCCTCCTTCTGGGGGAGGTGAAGCGACGGCGATGACGATGAGGAGAAGGAAAAAAGATGAGGAGAAGGAAAGCGATGTCGATCGCTGAAAGGAAGGTGGATGATGATAAAGGGGATCACTGAGCGCCGCGCGCAGCCGCTCTGCCTCGTGGAGGCGCGCGGGGCTCGCGCGCGCGGGGCGCGGAGGCGCGATGTGGGGTGCTCCGCGCGAGCTCGCGCAGGGGGCTCGCGCTTTGGCGCTCAGGCGCCAGCGCGACAACCTGCTGCAGCAGCTCGCGGAGGCGGATACCCCCTCCCCCCAGCGATCGCCATCGCTCTCCCCCGAATCCTCCTCCTCCGCTTCCTCCCCTTCCTCCTCCTCCTCCACCTCCTCCTTCCCCCTCCTCCCCCTCCTCACCCCTCCCCCCGCCCCCTCCTCCCTTCACTCCACCGCCCCTCTCCCCCTCCCCCCGCCTCTGCAGACTGTCAACGCGGAGCAGACAGAGCGCGCCGTGCAGCTCTCGCCGTGGCTGGAGGAGGCGGGAAACGATGACGACGAGACGACGACGACGGCGGCGGCGACGACGACGACGAATGAGGCGGAGCGCGAGCTAGTGATCGCGCTCGGCGAGAGGGGCGCGGTGCTGCGGCGGGAGGCGGAGCTGAAGGCGGAGAACGCGCAGCTGAGGAAGGAGGCGCAGGAGGCGCAGCTGCTGCGGAGGGAGGAGCAGGCGCGCCTTCAGGCGGAAAATGCGCAGCTGAGGGCGGAGAAGGCGGAAAAGAAGAAAAAGAAGAAGGAGAAGAAGGACAAGAAGGAGAAGGAGGCGGCGGCGAAGGCGAAGGCGGCGGCGAAGGCGGCGAAGGCCAAGGCGGCGCGCGCCGCGGCGAAAGCGCCAGCGGCGGCGAAGGCGCCGCCAGCGGCGCCAGCGGCGCCAGCGGCGGCGAAGGCGCCAATGCCGCCGCCGTCGACTCCGCCTCCGCGGCGAGGCCGCGCGCCCGCAAGCGCGGAGCGCGCCGCGCGCCCGCAAGCGCGAACAAAAAGACCAGCGATCGTAATCGCTATCCCCTCGTCCTCTTCCCCCCACCCCACCCTCCCCCAAGCGATCACCATCGCTTCTCTTCCTCCTCCCCGTCCTCATCCTCCTCCTTCCAAGCGATCGACATCGCTTCGCCTCCCCCAGCGATCGCCATCGCTTCTCCTCCTCCTCCTCCTCCTCCTCCTCCTCCTCCTCCTCCTCCTCCTCCTCCTCCAAGCGATCGCCATCGCTACCTTCCTCATCCCCCTCCTCCTCACCCAAGCGATCGCCATCGCTTCTCCTCCTCCTCCCCATCCAAGCGATCGACATCGCTACCTTCCCCACCCCCCTCCTCCTCACCCGAGCGATCGCCATCGCTACCGCGGCGAGCACCCACCAGGCGGCGCCGCGACGAGCTCCAGGTCGATGGGCAAATCCCAAATCCTGAAAAACCTCCTCAAATCCAGAAAACCTCTCCAACGCCAGAAAACCTCACCAAATCCAACAAAGATTTCCCCGAATCCGAAAAATCGTTTCTAAAAACTACATCCTCCTCCTCTTCCTCATCCCTCCTCCCCCTCCCCCTCCTCCTCCTCCTCGTCCTCCTCCTCGCCCTCCTCCTCGCCCTCCTTTGCATGGGGGCCGCGGGCCGCGACGTCCCTGCGGCGCGGCGGGCGGGCGCGCGGCGGGAGGGGAAGAGGAGCGAAGGAGGGATGGAATGCATAAATAAGTTACTTATAAGTAACATACATGTTACTTATATGTATTGCATCTCAGCACGGGTAAGTAACTTAGCGGTCGTTAACAAGTATCTTACACCGTCATGAACAATCAACGAAATACTTTTAACTAACCTGAGTATTGTTACGCGACAAGACAACTACTTAAGGGTACATAGAAATAGTTAGAAATACTTAAGTACTTATCCTTTGCTATAAGTGTCTTATACCTAGCTGTACCTATGGTGCAACTAGCACAACAGCCACCATTCTCTCAGCGGAACGAAAGGGACCCACGTGTTTTCCTGCTTGCTGCGCTGCCGGAAGGGTCCCACGTGTTTTCACGCTTGTTTCGCACTGGGGCGCAAGGGGCCCACGTGTTTTCACGTTTGTTCCGTTCTGGGGCGAAAGCGACCTATGTGTCTTCACGTTTACTGCGCTCTGGAGCGAAAGGGACACACGTGATTTCACGCTTGCTGCGCTCTGGGTCGAAAGGAACCCACGTGTTGTCACGCGTCCTGGCCACCAGGGGCGGTCTCCCCCTGCAAAAAAATGGGAGGGAGCGCGCAACCGCAACGCAAAGTCAACGAACCAGCGCTGGGTGCATAATCACTTGGCACGTCCCGTCTTGGGGCTCTGGGGGGGCATCCCGGGGCGTCCTGGAGGGGATCCACGCATTTTCACCCTTGTTGCATTCTGGAGCGAAAGAAGTTCACGCGTTTTCACGCTTGCTCCGCTCTGGGGCGAAAGGGGCCCATGTAATTTCACGCACCCACGCGTTTTCGCGCCTGTTCTGCTCTGGGGCGACAGGGAACCGCGTGCTTTCACGCTTGCGCCGCTCCGGGGCGAACGGGATCCGTGTAAGCTCACACCTGCTGCTCGCTCCGGGGCGACAGGAACCCGCGCGCGTTCAAGCTCACGCCGCCCTGGGGAGGTCAGCACTCACGTGTTTTCGCGCTTGTGTCTCTCTGGCGCGAAAGGGGCCTACAGTCGGGGCCCTGAAGAAGGAGCCCTTTTCGTTGGAGAGGGGCTCGGCGTTCCTTGATTGTTTTGCGGTTTGCCTTCAGTTTTCCTGAGGTTTACCATGGGAAATCGAAGTTCAACGTATGGGAGAAAGGGGCCCCGTTCCTTATTAGGGTTCTTCAGGTCAACGCCCCGACTGTACGTGCTTTCACGCTTGTTCCGCTCTGTCGCGCAAGGGACCCATGTGTTTTCACGCTTGTTCCACGTTGCCCAGGCGGATCGTGAACATGTGGATTTGTTGAGGGTGTTTCGGGCGAAGCGCGGGACTTATATGACCAGGCCGCCAAGGCGGATCTTTAACAAGAATGTCTAGGGCGAAACGCTCGCTCTGCAGGATCTGTTGAGGATGTTTCGAGCGAGGTCCTCGCATGCAGCGAAAGGCTCCTTCTGCAGTATGTGGTGAGGATGTCTCTCCCGAAACGCGGTTTTTTTCAATTGTTTGAGGAGGTGCCGAGCGGGAACCTTGTCGTCGTCTCGGTGCGTTTCGTTTCGGTTCGGGTTTGCCCCTTGATCGTTTCGTGTCACTTCGGAACTGACCGGGATCTTGAGTTCGAGCTGGGTGAACGCCCCGCATGTTTCTCCTCCGCCTGTCGTGGTCCCGTTGCGAAGTTGAATGTCTCGGGTGATGGCATTATAACCGAATCGGATCTTGAGCTCGAGCTGGTCGAGCTCCCCGCGCGCCTCGACTAGAACTAGCTGGAGCTATGCGTTCAGGCGGTTCGAGCTTCAGATCCAAATCAGTTCGGCAACGACTCTGACGCCAATGACGGCTCCATCCAAAACGCAACAGGCTGTGGCACGGTTCGATGTGGCGTGACGCGTTGAACTCAGCACAGCACGGCGTATTACAGCACAGCCCGTGGCACGGCACATCATGATCGTTATTCTGAGCATTGTAATTGCTAATTGCCCCAGGGCTGGACCTAAACGGTGCTCTGGCGATTTCGTTTCGACTTCGTTTTGCGGTAAAGGCGGATTGAAAACAAAACGAGGGAAAACGAAAACAAGTCGAAAACGAAAAACACCGTTTAGGTTCAGCCCTGAATTGCCCGTCGCCCACGCTTGCCGTCTTGGAAGCGATGCCATGCTCCACACTTCTGCATCCCTTTTCCGGGCTCGTGGGCCGACCATGCGACCCGCAGGTGTTCAGCCCCTCTCCCCGGGTGCCCGCGCCAGGCTCTAGCTCGGCACCGCTCGGGCGCGTACCCCTTTTTCCCTCGGCCAGGGCAAAGCGGGGAGGATCAAGAAAGAAGCAGCACACGACGCGCGCGAAGGCGCAGCATGCAAGGGGGATGCGAGGGGGAACGGACGTCCGAGCGATGGCGAGCCTGGAGCATCGGAAAATTGCCGCTCGGGATGACTAGCAGCCCTTTGGGAGCTGTCGGGGCATCGAGGGCCCCCCCGTGGAAAACAGATATACAGTGGGCCTCGGGGTATGAGACGACGAGGACCGCGAGGAGGAGGAGGAGGAGGACACGGAGATCTGGGCGTCGCACTGTTCTCTATACCAGGCGCGACGCTATCGTTCAGGTTTCGGGGCCCACAGCCCTCACACATCGATCTGGCTGGAGAGATGCGGCCGACGGTCGGATCTCTCGTTTGAAGAGTGTTTTTTCCGTCTTCACATTTCACCGCAAGAGGAGGGTCGGTTGTTTGATGTTTGACTTTATTATTCCGCTTCGTGCCCTTGGAGGCCTCCAGAGGCCTCCCCAGATCTCCATATGGAGATTTCCGAAGAAATCTTGGGACCTCGGGGAATGTCCTGGGGATGATGTCGAAAGCTCCGACCCTCCTCGTTGTCGTCGCGGTCGCGGTCGCGGTCACTGTCGTGGTCGTGTGGTGGTCGTGGTCGTCGTCGTCGTCGTCGCCGCCGTCGCCGTCGTCGTCGTCGTCGTCGTCGTCGTCGTCGTCCTTTCGGGTCGTTGTCAGAGAATGTGGGGAGGAGGGCCGACGACAACGAGACGACGACGACGACGACCGCCACGACGCCGACGTCGACGCCGGCGCCGGCGGCGACCGCGGCGGGGGCGCCCTGGGCGGCGGTGAGGGCTCGGGAGCCGCGCGCGGCGCCAGCAGGCGTACAGCGGGCACCCCTCGTACCAGCCGCCCATGGCCGGAGGTCCCGCCGTCCTCCTCCGCCTCCTCCTCCTCGGCCTTCTCCTCCTCCTCCTCCTCCTCCTCCTCCTCCTCCTCCTCCTCGGGGCCTAGCCGCGCCTGTCAACGGAGTCATTGGATGGTCCGATCCTCCTCCTCCTCCTCCTCCTCCTCCTCCTCATCCCGCCTTCTCCTCGAGTAGCGCGCCCTTCGCCCTCGCCACCCCTGGGGCCTTTGGGCCGGCGGGGGCTGCTGGCGCGGCAGCGGGGCACGCTCGTGCCCAGGCGTGGCGGCCCCGCTGGCCGCTCCGGCGGCCGGCCTGGGGCCGGCGGTCTGCACGAACGAAAAACGGGCCGGGCGAAAGGGGAGGATTGGGAAAGGGGGGGTTACGAAATTTGCTGCATGCAGCCAGTTTCGGCCTCACCGAGGGGCCCATTCCTCGATACATAGCTCCATCTGGCGCCGGGTGGCGCCGGGAAAATCAGCTACGTGAGCTGATTCTCAAACCCCCCCTTTGCTATCCCCCCCTTTCGCCCGACCCGAGAAAAGGGCACGGAAAGAATGGGCACAATGCCCAACGGCGGATCTGGTTCATTTTGAACAGGACTCGCTGTCCACGCCGCCGCGGCCTGTGTCCATCCGGGACAGGAGGCCGCCTGCCCAACAGCGGCCGATGTTGGTTTGGGACAACATTTGTTGTTGGGCATGGTACCCATTCTTTCCGTACCCATTTCGGGCGTCCAAAGGCGGGGGCTGGTGCGAAGGCGTCGGGGCTCGGGAGACGGGGGTCGATGCAAACTCAAGCAGTGGCGAAGCGTGTTGGCTCGCCTACAGGCCTACCAAACATTGTTCTAAGACCCTCGTCTGGCTTCCACGAAAAATCGCCTTCGAACACTTCTGGCAGGGGCTGTCTTGTTTTAAAACATCGGCCTTATGTTCTAAGAACATGGTGTTTGTTCTTAAACATTTTTGGGTTCTAATAACATGCCGTTGTAGGCCTATAGAAATGCCGAGACGGCCGGTCCCTGCTCAAGGAGACGGGGGTCGATGCAAACGGGGGTCAGCCAGAGCGCCGGATCTTGCAGCATCCTGCAAGGCCTGGCTGGCCCGGGTCAGAAGATTCCCGAGGTCGGGTATGTCCATCTACAAGAGGCATACTCAAGAGTAGTCCACGCATTCATAGTTCTTGTTTATCAATCGTTGTACTACTTTTCCCATCCGTATTATCATTTCTACTATTAGTATTATGATAATGATTATTACTGGTATTATCATTATGATTGGTATCCTTGTTCTTGTTCTAACTATGATATCTCTGACTATGTTTCTACTTTTTCTTCCAGAATCCGCCTGTCGGAGGACATGTCCGACCTAAGGCTGGTGACGCCGCAGCGGGGCGGCTGCCCAGACGTGACGGCCCCTCCTCGCCGCAGCCCGCGCGGCGGGGGGATGCACGGCGAGGCGCTGCCCAGCCAGCCCGCGCCGCCGTGGGCAGACGCGTCGGAGCAGGCGCGAGCGCGCGGGGGCCGCGAGCGGCGCGGCTTCGCGGGAGGCCCTTCGTCGAAGCAAACAAACGCCATAAACAAAAACGAAGGATTGCAACCAAACCCTGGATTGCAAAAAAACCCTGGGTTTGTTTGCAATCCTTCGTTTTTTTGCAATCCTTCGGTTTTTGCAATCCTTCGTTGGCGCTCCGCGCGGATTTCTTGGATCCGCGCTGGGCCCCCCGGCGGCGCTCCTGGCACCGCTCCATGGCGCGCTCCGCGCGCCAAAGGAGGGGGGGTCCAGCGCAGATCCCAGGATCTGCGCGGAGCGCCAGCAGGTTGTTTTTTTTGCTTGTTTCTTCTACGTCGACCGAGACCTCAAGGCCTCGGGCCCTTGAGGATCGGGCGGGCGACGACGGAGGGCCATGATCGAAGGACGGGGGACCGAGGACTGCAGGGAGAGGGGCCCCAACAGGCAGGTGCGACTTGTTTCTTTGGAGTATGATCTCTGGGGAGCAAGCGGGGCTGGGAGACATCCAGCTAAACAAATGCAGCCATCGCAATGCAGTTCCCTGCCCGCTCCGATGCCCCGAGCTCAGGGAGGGGGTCCAGGCGTGGGCCAGGGGGGGGGTCGGGGCCCAGCGGCCCTCTTTCAAGGTACACTTCTGCTCCATTCCGCAGGGGCGTAGGTACGCCGTGCGCAATTTTAAATACATATTTTACTAGTTACTAGGAGTAGGAGCGGCGAACCCGTGATCGTCGACCCGTGTCGTTTTGTAAGGTCGGGCGCCTGACCGCGGTGGTTCCAGCTTGGTTCCACGATGCTTATGAGAGGTTGACACTGTGAATTCACAGGGTTCCTGCGTGGCTCCACGATGGTTCCACGGTGATTTCGACATCGCAAGTGTGACGAACCCCCGTACATTCACAGGGCTCCTCTTTGTTTCCACGATGGGTCCATCGATGGTTCCGACGTCGCAAGTACGACGAAACAATATGAATTCACCAGGCTCCTGC